TGGGGGCAGATGTTTGTGTGATGAACATGAGCATATGTACTCCAGTCATGGATGTTAAATATGTATTTCTATATAAATATACTTATATATGTATTCTATCCGTTACCCTAGTATCCCATAACACAAGCCTCATTGTGCTTACTTTGGGGCTAGGCTAATTGGTGTGAGTGCTGAAATATTTATTTCTTTTATTTGCGTGGATTTCAGAATTGTAAGCTGGTATATTCTGAAAGGATAATCCTTTTTAATAAGTGATTATTTGTGAACTTGTTATCTGCCCGGCTATGTAGGGGTGTAGTGTTACTAAGGAGAAGTGCTGACAGTTCAATAAAATCAATCCGATTTTTTCAGTTTTTTTTCTATGAAGTTTTCCTATGAACGGAATATTTTTAAGCATTTCAATGCTGGATGTTTAAAACTAAAGAAAATGTTCTAGAAAAGTAATAAAAAAAATCCACGGGGCCCGTCTGTTGCGTATATAGCCACGTTGATTTTTTCTGACCTAATATTAACCTACAACAAATATCTATCAAAAACTTGCAAATATTTTATAAATTATAATAAAGTCCACAAATGATGATGAATGATGATGATGAACTCAAAGAGAAACATTACTATCGCTATCTCGTCTTAGGCTATATCGGGTCAGTCGATATAATTGTTGTCATTATACGTTTGATTGTGTAAAACAACAACAATAACTGATGATATATAAACATTGAAACATCAAGTATCCATCCTAAAAACGTAAGTACTATGGGTTATTGCGTTCATTTATTCCGTCTTTTGGTGTCGTACCTTTATCTTACGCATCAACTGTCTTCGGAATTAGATATTTACCCATCTAATGTTAAATGGCGGAGTGCATTGTTTGGTCTCGCCAACCCCGTACAGAAAAAAATAGTTATCGTTTTCATCTAAAAGAAGCTGATGGACAATGGTAACTTACGGCACATTCAAAAGGCGTAAGACTTGCAAATGTCACGGTGAGTCAGATCTTGCGTCTCTCTCTTGCTTTTCCGTTGTTTTCCCTATTTTTACACGTTGCTGGGGTTCCGTACTCAAGGTGAGAACGGGACCCTATTGCTGGTCCCTCAGTTGTCTGACTCTCGTACTGTATGCCACGCGCCTCTAGATCGTAAGCGGAGTTATTTTACAGAACTTAAATATTGCTATTTTATCTTTTATGCACTCAGGAAATGGAGTGAAAGTTGTCATTTTTATACTTTTTTTGTTACAGGGAATCTCAAAATTCAAACTAGTTAAGAATGTAAATATACGTGTCTAATGTTGTAAATATAATGGTACGGAACCCTTCAAGTGCAAATCCGACTCGCGCTTGGTCGGTGTATAAAAATAAAATCCATATAATCACGTCATGCCATATCCGATGCTGGCAGGGTGTCAAAAGTACGACAAATTGAGTCGGTATAACCGTAAATATCTCAGTCTAAAGCACATCTCCACGCCATCGCCACATTTAACTTGAGTTGGGGTTCATTAGTTGTCCGAAGACAATAGGTGAGGTGTATAATGTAAGGTTATTATCCTCTTGGGCCTATAATACATTCTGAAACTGCCATAAATTGTACTTCGATGAACTTTTGCGCGGGAAATTTAGCATCCCGACGCATTGTGTGTCTTTTGCTGTCAGCCTAGCATTGAAGACAAAGGAGTATGGCATAAAATAACTAAAAGTAATATTAATGTTTTAAAAGTATTATTAATGGATCAGGAAGTTAAGATTTCGATGAACATCTACTCTTCGGGAATCTATGTACATATCAAAAATCTTGGGTTATGCTTTAGTAATTATGCTGTTTTTATGATGTAATATGTTTTTGTTCAATTAAATTGCTAGCCTTTAGTTAAAATATCAGAATTTTGAGTCTTGAGTTCTTTGTACCAGATTTTGATTTCTTATACCTAATTATTGTAAGAAACAATATATTTACTTTAAAAAAAATTTCAATTTAATTTAAATAAACATTTAATTATTTATTTAAATCGCTTTTCTTTACTTAAGATGAATACATAAAACTGAATTGAATACAAAGAAAGATGTTGATTAAGTTTTAAAAATTTATATTTTTAGCGTTTCTTGTGATTTTTAGTTTGATAATTCAGGAGAAAATGTCAAAAATTTGACGTAGATCCTTAATGCATTATTTTCGAAATCATTTTTTATGCAACGGGCGCAATAAAATAAGCTTGGTCCATAATGAATACGTATATGTCATACTTAATATTATATTTCTTTTTATGACACTGAATGGCTGGTAGTGAAGTTAACAAAAATAACATGAAACAATTTTATAACCTCATGTGATTCTTATCCTGACTTCGAATAGAAAATTAAAATTATGCTTAATTAAGTCACCTACTGGATAAACTAAATTGTGTGAACATAAATTTTAAAAATTCTCCGCAAATAAAGCAAGAGTAAAACTACGTGGACCAGCCACGTAGTTTTACTCATTTTATTGCTTAAAACTCACAAAATTGGTAGATTTCTCTAAAATATGACACACTTAGTGACTGCTGAGTGCTCTACTGCTTCCTGTTCCATATCCGATATCCTTCTCTGCTGTTTCTATTGCTTTTTAAGCAGTAGTCCCCCATCCTTTAACAAAAATCATACATATTTATTTCTGACTAGTGGCCCGCCCTCGCTTCGCTTCGGTGTAGAGCTGTAGTGTAAACTATAGTTTTTGTTCTCAGGCTTGTGTTATAAACAATGACTTTATTTATATAATTACACGTGTTATTGTGAGTCAACCATAAAAGATAGACATATGCTGTTGCGGGATATTTTTTAGACAATTTTATGTAGAATATTTCCGTCATACATAATTTCTATGTAACTTTAACCATTAAGGCTGCACACGCGACGGAAGCTTAAAAAATGGAGTAACTTCTCCCGTTTTCCCAACATTTCCCTTCACTACTCTGCTGCTATTGATTGTAGCGTGATGAAAAGTATACTATAACCTGCCCAGGAGTATGAAGAATAATTGTACCAAGTTTCGTTAACATCCGTCGAGTAGTTTTTGTTTCTATAAGGAACATACACACAGACAGACAGACAGACAAAAATTTTACTGATTGCATTTTTGGCATTAGTATCGACCACTAATCACCCCCTGATAGTTATTTTGAAAATATATTTCATGTACAGAATTGACCTCTACAGATTTATTATAAGTATAGATTGTAAAAAGTACAAAAATAACTTTTTAAAGTAAAAATGAGGTTTCTGGTTATTTTTCGATGGAAACAATCTGAATCATTAAATAACAGATTCATATTTTTTTTTCATTTTGTTGATTATTGAACCAACCAAACATGAGAAGAAAGGTTTTATGTAAAGGAATGGAACCCCCAGCATTGCCGCTGCCTTCTCCGGTATTGACTGTAAATAAAATAAAAACTATGTATAACCAAAATAAAAACTTTAAGTACTTACACCGAAATGCACCATAAGTGCTCTGCCTCTCTCTCATATAATAATATATATATTTTCTTATACATAATGTCTAAGGAAATCAACATTTACGATTTTCTTTATCGGCTGTACCAATTTGTAATGCAATAAAAATACAGAAACATGTGCCTAGGTTAGTTTATAATGGACCATTGTTAGATGTTGATAGATTTAGATTGTAGTTCCATTGCTTTTAACTCGCAGTTGTGAAAGTGATCTGTGTTACTGTTTGTAAGAAGTTGATGAATTTCAACATCAAGTACCCATTGAAGAAGTACTTACTGCTACTGCGAGTTTCGGTAGCGCTGGTAAAAATATATTTGATGAGTTAATTGGAGCGTAACGGCAACCCATTTACGATACGATAATAGGTTTTCAAATACTATTTTTTCTTAAATTACATTACTTGTTTAATGATGAAGAAACCGTTGCGTTGTGTACTTTTAAAGTCATAATGGGTAATCTCTTATCTATTAGACAATCCGTCCGTCTGTCTGTGGTGCTGTTTCAGCGGCCAAACCGTAAGAGATAGATAAAGAGAATATTTAAGTTATAAGTTAAGAATAGTCTGATAAGACTACAAACCGGATTTGAGTAACGTAGCACTTCCGGTTTTCGAGAAATCAGGTTTTGGTGAACATTTGGTTCACTGGTTTGCTAGTTTATAATAATGCATAGTTCACCTCTACATCAGAGAGTTCACTTTCATTTGTATTTCACTAATACGAAAACTGTTTATTGCAATGCAATTCCAATATTACAAAAGTAGGTGAGCCTGAAAATAGCTTTGCCCAAATGTCAGTTACTGATAAAATTTCAAATTCACTCTACTAATAAACATATACTCCGAGTTCTTTTAACAAATAAATGAAGAAAGACATGAAAGTTTTAGTTACAATAACATTACGCTTAGAAATTTTAAGGCCGTTATTAAGTTTTGCAAAACAGCCGTCTGAGAGTGGCAGTACAAGTATGTGAAACTGTGCCCATCGGGACATTGTTACTGGGACAAATTTCTATGGCATTGTCCCATTTTCTTCCGCCGGAATATTGGATTATGGAGTAATTTATTCGCATGTCGCTCGTATAATTAAATCAATTATACATATCATCCGATTGATTTATGTTTCGATCCATAAATAGATAGTTCAAGTTTCGATCCATAAAAATACAGTTTTAGTTTTATTCTATGAATTAACACCATAAAGTTCTGTTAACAATAAAATATAAACCAGTGTTGAATATGAATGAACGGTGAAACCCCTACACTCCACCCACTTACAGTAAAACTAGTCTTTCATTCTAATTTATGATAGAATTTGTATGTATTTTATTCAATTGGCGTATTTTATCTATACGATACGCTCCAATCTATTTTTTGTTAAGTAAACTAAAAAGTTCGAAACTGTTTGTGCACAGCACACATACTAAACGCTTTGGTGAAAACTTTCTTTTTCTAAATATGTGGTGTGGTGTATGGTGGATTGTTTTTTCTAATATTTGTTTTGTTGTGCAGGATGGTCGCTGCCGGAGGGGGAGAGCGTCCCGTTTCTCCGCAACGAGCCCGTGAAGTTGACGCCCGCGTGGGAGGGCACCAACCTGCCCAATGACACGCTCAACTTGAAAGGTAATCCGCCGTGACATACCGCCCGCGCGCTCATACTCCACCCGACAACATCACTGATGAACCGGTTTTCATGTAACTAGATAATTTGCGGCTACTGAAACGTGTGATATCGCTAGTATGACTATGACAGAAGAGCAAAATCTATATTTAGATTCAAAACCAATCTAAATTTTGATTTAACTGGTATTTCCATAGTAGTAGTGTTTGTAGTGGTGTAATTATAACTAATGTTTTATGCAATGTTATAAAAATAGTATGGAATATATTTCATAATAATTAAATAAACCACCGGTAAAAAAAATATATACTATACAATATATATACTAAAATAGGATCGAATCTCGCAATTCAAAGTTGCCAAATATACGAACCGTAACACAAAGCAGGATTTATTAAAGTTTGCAGAAGCGGCTTATAATTCTTGTCCGCCAGTAAAAGGATAAATAACGACGCGTGATCGGGCATTATGAAGGTCTCCCGGCTTCGGTAAAAAACTTCAAGGAAATGTTTTGTTACGGCCAAACATATTTAAGTCGATACACGTGTCTGCAACTTGAGCAGATTTCACAGTTCTCTTGTGTCACTTTGGTGGGAAATTACATTTTACGGTAATATTACACTTCCAACAGCAATGCAAATTGCATATGGCCACATGTAAAAATTTGCGGTATCCAAAGTTACTTTTATGTGCTCTTTAAGCATTTCTTGTCCCAACAAAAAGATTAAAACAAATAGATGATTTTTTTAAATAACTTTCTGGTATAAATAAAAATGAGTTTAAGTGCAAACAGGCCACTGCGTTACTGTAGTTTAAAGTTAAAGGCGATCCTTCTATTCATTTACCTTAATATTCCTATGTACCTTAATAGGGTCATGTCACGTCGTGTTTCCCAGATTAGAAGCCAGACACCATCGCCGCATAAATGCCCATCGATTTTTAGTCCTTTTAACGGGACCCCTTACTGAGATTTCACTGATATCATTAGTGAAGGTTTTCTGCCGACGATTTCTCAAAACACTGCCATACCAACACGCCCTATGTTAGTGGATATTACTGTAAAAGCGAACCAACCTTAGTATGAAATATCTTGTGACCATATACGTTTAATATCAGCGAAAGAATAAAACTGGCGTTGCAGCAAGCGATATGGTAGAGCTTTTATTTCTAGGCGAAAATGGGAAGCGCAAGGACAAAAATTACATAAAGAAATAAAAAAATCTCGTTACTATAGGTAATGGAATTCTGCGTACTTAAATGGTATTGTTGTTATACGTAGGAGATGCCATATTATTTAGAGTGGGAAATAAATTATTGTTTCCGAAAAAAATTGATGCGTATGTTTTAGTTATTTTCAGATGCATTGTGCATATAACTTTCGTTTAAAAAAAATGTTATTTATTAGGTGTACTTACAACTCAATATATGAATACATTCAAAAATAAAATAATACATATTCTAGGACATATAGATTGAGATTTAGCTAAATTATGGCCCTAAGGTCTACTTGCAGGAAACATGCTTAATTTCGAATTAACTAAAACTAAATTTAGTCCAGACCGTAATGTCAAATTGACATATCTCAATGGGTTAAATCTAGATTTACTTGAATAGAAATTTAGCAAATTTTTCTGCAAGTGGACCTAAGGCTTGTTTTTACAATTATTGTGTCAATTTTAGTTACTCCAGACACATTTGGACACACTAACAACCTAGACTTCACCTTTTAATTCTTTATCAAATCATTTGGTGTTGATAAATTGTGCTTGTCCTATAAGTTTACAAAATGAATATTGTCAATTTCCGGTAGTTTGTAAAGAACCGAAATCGAACACTAGCTCTTCTCGCATACTCTGATGGTATTTAAGATGATTTGCTGATTATATATGGTCTCTGTTGTGAGGATAAATATAAACTTTTTATTTGTTTTATTATAACGGAGTAATCAATGAAAAAGTATAATAAATATTGTGCAAGCCTGCGCTCCCTCAATCGATCAGTGATTTATCTGTCCGGATATATATTCGTATTTCGTTCGTACCCATATGTTTTTGCGGCTTTATCCGCCTTTGGAGGTTTTAGGATAACTCCAAATGGACGGTTTTAATTTATCTACTACATAGTAGATGATGATGAGTAGACATATTCCACCAGGACTCCACCGTCACTTAACATCAGATGGGGGGCGTCGTTTGTGGGACTATTTAAAAATAATCAATGAAATTTAATAAATACATATGTATTTTTAATAACTTGATAAAAAGAGCTCTTTTTATAAAAAAATAAATTACCCTTTACTCACTCCCGATAGAATGAAGAGGACAACTCCCTCTTAAAGATTTCACTCGCTCTTAATGGACTCTAATTGCTTCTTAAATCAACATTTACGATAATGTTCCCTGGAATTTAAGCTTCACGCCATTATGGGGCAGTAGATTGGTAGGTATAGTAGCGGCAACGTAAAGGCTTCTCAAAAAGGTGTAATACAGAGTCGAAAATTTTATTAGTTTTTTTAAATGTTATACTTACTTTTTCGCTATTTTCAGGTGTTGCAATGGACCTAGCGCCTCCTAAAGACAAATGGAACATCATATACATAATCCTCATTATTCATGGATTGGGCACTTTGATAGCATGGAACATGTTCATTACTGCCAAAGATTACTTCGTCAAATACAAACTGGTGAATGCCGGAGAGTATGCGGAAAATTACTTATCTTACGTGGGGTGGGCTGCTCAGGTGCCCAACTGTGTTTTCAATTGGATGAATATATTCGTTCCTCTTAGGTAAGTTCTTATTGATTTGTATTTCATTTAACTTGTGTACATTTTGTTGTTATGGATGGGGCAAGCATTACCCGTGTTGCGTTTTTTTTTTACCCTTCTTGGGGTAGTAAAAGATTGAAGAAAATACAGACAGTTATTCACCCCTTATATTGTGGGGATAGCGACACTCGATGGATTATTTTTCAATAAATATTTATTATAAACATCAGGTCAAATAGTCAATCGTTATATTGATTAATAGATATATTAGTTGTTATTACAGACAGCTTTAACTTTAGTATGAATATAATTTTTTAGTCATTTTACTCTTCATTGTTTACTTAGAACAGCAGTGCTATTCTTTAAGAACAAACTCACTTTTATTGCCAGTGTGATTTTTAATTTATTTCAAATTTGTATCAACTTCAAACTTTCAACTTTGACTTCAAATAAAACCGAGGATACCACAGTGAAAAGTGAGGTTGTTCCATCCCACGATCAGCGTGTTGATCGATTTTTTTCTGCACTGGAACGTTGGTAGTCAATGAAACTTGTTTACAGGGGAAGTTTGACGACACGGATAGTATGGTCGCTGATACTGGAGGTAGCCATATTCGTGCTCACCGTAATCCTGGCCATGTTGGACAGCTCGCAGTGGCCCGGCGTGTTCTTCTGGCTCACTATGGCGTCAGTCTTCTCACTTAATGGTGAATATTATAATTCATCCTACTTCCTACTAAAATATTATAAATTAGCGACTTCGCCCACGCTAACTTTATTTTTTTTGAAAATCCCTTGGGGACCTCCTTTCCTCAATCCGTAGTATGATGTGGAAGTTTGTATTTTTGTTGCTCAATCACGCAAAAACGGCTGAACAGATTTTGATGAAATTTAGCACACATATAGTTTATTACCTGGATTGAGACATTGGATACCTTTTAGCCTGAAAAATGCAAGGTTCTTAAGAGATTTTCAAAAACTAAAGTTTACGCGGACGTAGGCGGCCACTAGTTGCCCTGTCCGATGAAAATATAAAAAGCTTACTGCAGCGTCACCTACCGAGTCTACTTATTAATCTAGACTGATTTACCTACGCTTAAAAAAAGATTGAAATCAATCCAGCTGTAACTTTAGCAAATGCAGCTGGGCTATGCAGGTCTTTAAATACTTAGAGATGTAGATAGTTATTTGCAGAGATGTACAAAATACTTTTCGAAAAGTATTTAAATACAAAATATGTATTTTCAAAATACTTTATTGAAATAAAATACTTTATGGTAAAATTACTGGTTTTCTTTATTTATTAAAGATTTTAAAATCACAAGCTCTTCAAAAAGAGCATCTGACATGTTGCGTCTGTGTAGACGCATAATCATACCTACATAAAATAGCCTTTCCATTGGTGCTGAACTCGGGAGACAAGTGTTGTACTGTAAAAACACTTTTTATATAGTTGGATATGTGTTGAGGATATTCCGACTTGTCTTCATCTCTTAAATATTGGAGGGTCTCCAAATCAGTGCAGGTGCTGCTGTTGCCATCTGTAGAGGTTGCCGAGGAGTCTGAATCATTGAACATATAGTAAGACTCACTTTTTTGCCTCTTTTTCAATGTTGATGTTTGTGGGTGTACACTTTTAAAATCGTCGTGTTTGAATATTCGCACTTCCGCAATAAACAATTCCTTCACATACTCCTTTTCAGCTCTTGGTACCCACTATAACTTGAAGAAGGGATATGACACAGCTGCTAAAATGCTGTGTTTGGCACGAGTATCATGCAACTTATATTTTTTAAACCCCATTTCAATACTTTCTTTAATTGTATCAACTAAACTACCACTATATACTGGATTTTCTTGTTTTAATAAGTCCAACATTTTTTGCATTCGATACAATTCTGGCTGCAGGCATCCATAAAAAGTCTCTTTGTCGCCTTCTAAGCTCCGAATGGCTTGAGCTATGGGCTTAGATGTGCGAATATACTCAATCAAAAACTGTACTTCCATCTACAAATGTTTTTACTATTATTGTAGCTGTACAGTAAACAATTTTGAAATCTAAAGATTTTTATTAACATAGAATAGATTTAAATGTCAATTAGCACACAAAACGACCAAATTAACTTATGATCGAAGCTTATATTTATATTACATACTTGCCACAATGCCTACAATGACATCTTTTTTGTAGTGCTGTTTACGTACAGGTTTTTTATAAATATATTTTTCTATTTCTGTATTTTTATTTGTCATTTATACATTCATAATCACTTAAATACGAATCGTTAAAATAACGTATTATTGCCTACACGGCATATTGTTTAAATACAATTTGTTTTGGCATTTTTTTAAAGACGTTTCGATCGAACAACACAGAAATAATGAAATAGCTGCCAACACTGAAAAACGTAACAGTGACTTTGAGGATTGTCAAGAGGGGTCCCTCATATATTATTGGTCAGGTTTTATATGCGTTTTGTTTCATCTGTCATTTTGCGCATAGACTTTTAAAGCTGCTGCGCCACTAGTGGCCATTTTTTGTTTTTACTGAATCGCGGAATGCTAAAAATGAAGCTAAGAATAAAAAAGTATTTTGTATTTTACAAACCATTTTACAAATACAAAATATGTCTTGAATAGTATTTCAAATAAAATATAAAATACTTTTTAAAAAAAGTACTTAAATACAAAATCCAAAATACGTATTTTGTATTTTAAATACAAGTATTTCAAATATGTCACAACTCTGGTTATTTGACACTGCTTTCTGTGAAAAAGTGCTCGTCGCGTCGCTGCCAGCCGCTGTCATTCCAAAGCAGGGATGATCTCGGGATAAGAAATTTTAGGTCACCCATCCAATTTCCGAATCGTTAAAAGATTTTCCTCCGAGGACTTATTATGGACTAAACGCACAGGATGTGCGAACATTTGTTGGCCGAAAATTTCAAAAGCGAACGTTATTGAAGTGAATATTCTCAAATTACGTTCTGTTGTAATTAGCACAAAGAGATGACGTTTTAAAAGAGAATACAAGTTCCATCCCGTTAAATCGGATCGAGCGCCAGCGCAGACTAAAAAGCTACCTGTGTGCGTTGCTGCACCTAGTTACATGAGTTCTATTTTTTTCGGGGACTCCCGTGTACTTTTATCCAGTCCGGTCGCTCGATGTCCTCCGTTGTTAGGGGGGAATTTTGTACGCGATACTTTTAATCTTTAATCTGACGTGCATTACCCGATGCATTTGTTAGCGATCTATTTTAACGAACCAAAAAGTCCGCAGTCAATTGTCTGCGCAGGCCATAATGGCGAGCGTTTTTTTTTTATTTGGTGCAGTGGCTTTGGTGTTTATCCATACAAAAATCGAATCTTTCTCACTGCCGGATTTAGGGGAAAGCAAACGGGGCGAAAGCCCCTGCCTCCACAAACGGGGGGGAGGGGGGGAGCAAACAATAGAGACTTCGGCAAAAAAAAAATCTTTCAAATTTAACTAGTAAACACTATAGTCTGTCCATTCTATTATTATCTTTTTGAAAGATCGACGCCCATGAAATTTTGTATTTTTTTTGTATTACAAATAATATTGTACTTCATGGACGGGTACCGCCCACTTAGTGATGTGCCACACATAATGATTACTAATATTGTGCCACAGATTACAAATAATCGGTAGAAATAAATGAGTACAACCAAATTGTATGGTTGAAACCAAGTAATTAAAATATTAACATTATATAAAGTTCATTATATAAATGTCTTCTTAGTTTATTTTTAATTTATTCAGACATATTAGATTCTTCGTACAAACTGGACTCGTCGTCAGATGTGTCCTCGGTATTAATGATGAGTTCATTCTGTTGTATATTGTCAAAGGCAATATACTAGGTAAAATAATAAATGTAATGAGATTTTGTAATAATTTATTAAACACCAGTATTTTTGATAACTAAAATAATTTCGATGCTTATAACACTGGAAAACAGCATGTCTGTTGCATGAAAATTTTTACATGAATCTGAATAGTTTTTCCACGCTGATTTAAAAATATATGCCGTTTTTATGTAGCAACTCTAGTTTTGGAATTACCAAGTAACAGGGTTTTCCATTGAAAATGCAAAAGTTTTAAAAAATATTAAATATATTTATTCTCAACAAAAATTCCTTTTTTTGGATTTTCTAGACTGCGGTGTATTATGAGTACTATTTTGGATGCTCCAACAATAATCAGCCATCATATGTTCATTCCAGTACCCCTGATACCTCTCCTCCATAGTGCGAATATCCTGGTGAAATCGCCTTCTTCTCCTTGGTCCTCGCTTAGGTCACCGAGATTTTCAGGAAAATAGTCCAGATGGTTGTGAAGGTAGTGAAGCTTAATACTCATGTTGCATCCAAGTCGCTGGAAGTATATCAGCATCTGTTCAACTTGCTGAATGTAGCCGTCAGATTTCCTATTGCCCAAAAAATTTCTCACTACCCAAACAAACTCTTCCCATGCACATTTCTCGACAGCTGTCATATGGTTGATGAAATTTTTATCATCTATCAACTTCTGATTTGTGGGCCATCGAAAATACCACCTTTAATTTTCTCACTACTCAATTTTGGAAACACTTTTACAATGTATTTGAAACTTTCGCCATCTTTGTTAAGAGCTTGTACGAACTGTTTTATCAACCCCAGTTTTATATGCAAAGGAGGCAATATAATTCGGTCTCTGGATACTAGTGGAGCATTAATTACATTTCGTTTCCGGGAATTAAAGCCTCCCTGGAAGGCCAGTCTCTTTTTGTCCAGTCCTCAGCTTTAGCTTGGCTGTCCCATAAGCATAGGAAACAGGGATATTTTGTATAGCCACTTTGTTGATCCAGGAGAAAATTTACCATCTTCAAATCAACACATACAACCCAGGGGGCCAATCGCCTAACGGAAATGCTTTGGGAAACGCTAACGCTTACGATTTTATATTGTTATTTCTAGCCGCCTGAGTTTTTCGAATACCTCATGCTCATTTTTTTAAATATTGTTATTACCAAATCAAAAGAAAAAGAAAGAGCGCGAGGCATTTGAATAACTCAGGCGGCTAGAAATAACAAAATAAAAACGTAAGCGTTAGCGTTTTCCAAAGCATTTCCTTTAGGCGATTGGCCCCCAGTTATGTTCCTTGTACTTGATTTTGACGAGAACTAAAGATATTATAGGATATTCTTCTCTAACCTTTGTAGAATGAGCAATAGGTAAGGAACCAAGTTTGTTACCATTATGTAAAAATACACATTTCAAACTTCGTTTTGACGAATCAATAAACAACCGCCACTGATTTGGATTATACTCTTTTAATCCTATTGCAGTCATTAGGCCCGGATTATCAGTACAAAACACAAAATTATCTTTTTTAGTAAAGAAAGGAAGTAAATCCATTTCCCTGTTACGGTAGTACGATATCTTCGTTTCTCTGGTCAACAAATTTCTTTCTTTCAATCGGGAAGCTAATATTTCTGATGCCGTTTTAGTCAGTCCAAGGTCCCTGATCAAGTCATTTAGATCATCTTGATTTAGTGGTCGGGGACTACCGTAGCAGTCAAAATCACTGTCACTACTACTGCCGTCTTTTTCGGTTTGTCCGTTGCATTAGTCTAGATTTTCTGAAGATGTACATGGCTGCTGTGGTGTTGATGTGTTACTAATACTCAAGACTGGTCTTATGGCA